TCTTGGAGTAGAACGTCATTGTTCCGGTTATAACCGAGCCTAGCACACTCCCACCATCCACCCTTTTGTATATTTGTTATGTATGTTCCACAAAGTCGCCTGTGTGGGTATACACTCATTTGCATAAATGGTACATAGTTTCACTCAAAATTCAATACAACTAATAAAACCAAATAAAACCAACCTGTCGAGAAGTATTCATGTTTAGAATAACAAATTATAAAGCAATATTTTCACAAAAAGCTGAAATATGGTGAGATTTTGAAGCTATTTGGTTCAGCTGCAACTATATTTATTTCTACGGGGTACTATGGGTTATGTCCTCTTAGCGCTAGTCGAGACGTAGGCACGTGAGCACACAGGTAGAATGGGGTCAGTCTTGGATGGGTGATTTTATCAAACTTCAACTATACTAGTCTGAATAGTACGGTACATATCAGGCTCATTTTGAATTTAAATCCCTGATAGCATAAATTCAAGTCAACAATATCTGTTCAATAAAAACACATCACATTTTATTATATGAGTGCATATAGTCAGTTATTTCAATGGACTCGACAGAAAAAACCCCCTGTAGTTTACCTGGACAGGTGTGAACTATGTTCATCTCTTTAGTAGACTAATTTCTCGTCGTCCGATTCTATGTCCTATATGATTTCATACATTTCTACAGACAATATACGAAGAAATCATCTGACACCCCTGACTTTGGTTAAAACAAATAAAACTGCGAGAAGATCTAAAATTTGAAAAATACATTTGAACAGAAAAAATGATTATTAATGTAGCAATTAAAATCTGAGGATTAACAACTGAAAATTCTTGATCAAGGATTCGGATTGGACGGGATCTACAACATCTACCGTTAACTATATCACAAAGTAAGCCAGTACACTAACGAAAAGAACAATGATTAGAAATTGATTAACCACAGCACTTTTAAAGGACTTTTTCTCTACTGTGGCAATGCTTCTATCCAATACAAATACATAGTGGTACAGAGCAAATCTCTAATTCATTGAACTCGTACATTTTATTTCTGACAAAGATTTATGACTTACATTTATAAATAGCAGTCAATAAGTCAATTCTGATTAAGTATTTTTGTTTACAAAAAGATAGGAAAATTATAGTAATACAGGAAAAATAAAACTAAAATTTCCTTTCTGACTGTATGAATGATGGTTCATTGCGGAACAAACTGTTTACATATATAATAAATATGATCACGTGCGAAACTGTGGAAACAAAACACTTTAAATTGAGAGTATATCAAACTATTCAGTCTGTATCTTATAGACTTACACGTGTCTGACCATATACTTAGTTGTACTCTTATATATATAGAAAATGAATAAACCTTATCCCACATTTTGCTATGTCATTTTAAAAATTATATCAGTTACGATAGAATCAAACATCTGTGCGATAGAACATGTGCGGTAGCTTATTTCGCCCTGTTTTCCTATCGTTCGCACATCGTATAATGTTGTGCGATCCCACAACTGTATGTAAAGGAAAATAGTTGTTTCCAACACGGAGAAATAAATAATTCTTATATTATGGCATCTGATGCTGAACGGATAGAAGTTTTGATGAAGCTTGACATTACTGTAGTTCTCGATATCATTTACAACCTCAGGGGAGTGTAGTATCTTGGCAAAACCTAGTTATCCTACCTTTTTAAATGGGGATTTCTCCTTCAGACATTATCAACTAGAACATATACACGATACTTATCACCAACCTGTACCAAGAGAAAAACCCAGACTTTTTACACTGGTGTGTAGCCGTTCGTCGGGACGGAAATATACTAAAGACTAAGCATTTTCATGAAGACAGGTACCATTAGATTTCTTTTGTAAATAAACTGCCACTGAATGTAGAGCACGCAAATTAACGAAATGTCATTTACTTTAAATCGTATTAAACAAAAGAAGCTAATCACCTCCCTTTAAAAAATATTTAATTGGAACAAAGGGACTGGGCACAAGTTGCTGAAATTATGTAAAAGCCCTCTACCGCATTATTACAAACAAACAATTACAACTGATCAGATAACAAATTTAAACATAAATAATTTATATATAGTAATAAGCTACGATCATTTGTTAGATTGTAAATTTAAGGACTTTTGCTATGTTTACAATTAATTTTCATACATACGATATATATATTATATATATATATATATATATATATATATATATATATATATATATTTCGATGATGAAATGAAGATATGCTCTGACAGTAACTTACAGAGATGAAATAAATACTTTGAAATACTTGTTTTTAAATATAAACGAATTTCAACAATTTCTCTATTTTTCATTCATCATCAAAAAGTTTTACCTGGTAACCTTTACTGTTAAAAATCTATTTCTGTAAAGTTATGAAATTCCTTAATTAAGTATCAATTATTATCTTGAAAAAGTTCAAGTAACTTTATGACATCTTATCTCAGTATTGAAATTTTGAATGCAATAACTTATTACTCGCTCCAGGTGTGATTCAGTGTGTCAACATTGTGTAATGTTGTATAAGTGTTACAACAAATTTGTGGACAGTATTCTAAAATCCTGATATGGAAATATGAAAGGAAACATTAATTATGATTGTTTTAATAAATGTTTAGTTGACATATTAAATGAGGTATTCAGCGAACGACGATATTATCAGTCAACGAACTGACACAGGTCATATTAATTAAGGTCTAATTTGATACCTTATTCAAATAATGCGGATTTAATCATAATTAATCTTGATTTCTTATGTTTTAAATATTGTTTTAATCAACATCATTAAACATAAAAAAAAGATTATACAAATATGTATATAAAAGACAATAAAATGGAAACATATGCATTGTAATGTTAATTTCTGGCTTAACAACGACATATATCATGACATACTAAATGGAAATGTACATCTGATGTAGATTACGTATAAAAACAGCTGCCAGTCTAATGCATATGTCTAAAGATTACATCAGTAAGGCCTTGATTTAAACTCATGATAATGCATAAAGTGGACACATTATAGACTTATATTGACGTACTACAAATAGAGTACTCATACTTATCATTACAGTGATGAAGAAACACCAGTAAAATATTCATACTTATCGTTATTGTACTGACGTAACACCAGTAAAATATTCATACTTATCGTTATCGTACTAACTTACCACCAGTAAAATATTCATACTTATCGTTATTGTACTGACGTAACACCAGTAAAATAATGCTTCTTCCTACTATTGTATTGACGTAACGTCATTGAAATTATTATATTTATTGTTTTTGTTATCACGATATTCAAGGATAATTTCTATGGCGAATGGATGATATCACGCGCATAATATTGTTGTAAGTGTATAATTATTGCAATTAATAATTATAAACTGATATATGTGATATTGAACACTGCTGACGACAAATAGTGTATAAAATAACAACAAAGAAAATGCCGAAATTTCGATGGAATCTCAATTCGAAACTTCACTTAGAAAATGAACAAAAGAAAGATTTACACGGAGACTCATAAAAACGTAAAAGGAGAATAAGACCAGGTGTTTCAGATGGGTAATCGTCTTCTGCTTCATCAACAAAGTCAGAAATGCAATTCCAATCAATCCAATTATATAATGAAACCTAACTAAATGAGAACAAGTTCAACAACAACGGAATTGACAGGTAAAATGAACATAAAATATTTACACCATACAAGGAAACAATGGACGACATCGTGAACGTGTAATCTATGTAACCCGAGTAACTTTAATAAGTCATTATTGTTGTACCAGGAAATGAATAAAAGATTCGTACTTCATGGTATTCAAGAACATTTAAATCTAATACATCTGTTTGATCGTTGACAGTATGGACACACATACAATTGATGTTATACAAGGCAATAATACCTATTTATGATTGACGTAATACCGTTACGTACTCACATATTAATATATATATACAATACATCAATGAAGCAAGGAAATCACTAAACGTAATGCCTGTTGAACTGTTATATAGTTTTAGATACATTAGCTGCGACTTGAAAGAGAAACAACTACATTATGGATGAACACAAAGAACAGATATTGAAAGCGTCAGATTCTGAACTTATCTTTTACAGAAAATGGGCCAACAACAACACCAAACTCTGTTACAGTTTCAATTTTTACCAGAACATACATTCTGTTAGTTTTCTCTATGTATGTTACTGCTAGTAACATTTTTTCGTTCTTATTAAGTTCGCACAATTATCATATCCGTAACATCATGTTAGTATTCTGTATATTCTTCTTAGCTGAGAAGTATCATTTTATAGAATATTGATAACCTAATCATGCTGAACATCAATCTACCAGTTGTGAAAGTAACAGAACAACATTTAAAAAGGAATCGAGAAAAAAGCTGATTGATGATTAACCTTGGTCCCTAAACCCAATCTGCACTCTGTCATAAGTATACTATTCATGTGTAAATACTGATCTCAGTGATGCGATATGTAATCCATCACTGTAACATACAACGACATGTTGTCCATTGTAAAATTTTAATATAATCTCTGTTTTAGGTAGTAGAGTAAATTGAATAGTCCTTTAAACACTGAACCTAACGTAACTGATTAACATATTTGAGTAATAGTTCGTGACGGAACGAAACGAAGCGTGACATTAATATTGCGCATTCAACCAAGACATGAACTACGAATCAGTTTCGGGCTTACTTTCGATTTGCATAACATGCAAATTAGTAGCAGTAAGTTACCAACTTTTCATCAAGCCCTTTAAAGAGGGATTTTACAAAGGAACTTGAAGTGGGACGGGCAAGATCGTGGGAGCAACAACAATATGCTCGGAGTAAGGACGAATGGTGGATAAGTCTGCTGATACTACTTCAGGATTCTAGTGTTTTGAAAAAATATATACAATTAAGTGAAAGTGAAAATAAACGTGACTTTGACTGATTATAATAAACTAATACTCCACGATGGGGGAATTACCTATTGTGATGCTAATGACTCTTTTATATGGAGGTACAATACAACCAGGTGAGTGTGTAATCAATTTCATTTATAAGTTGTATGTAAAAGGTAAGTCAGATTTTGTCAAACAGTATCCATTCAATCATATCTGTTGAAAAACGTTCAGGAAATATTCCTAGGAATAAATGAATTTTAACACTAGAACGCCCTTTGGTGCCCATCATCCAAAAAAATATAGCATGATTGAAAACTGAATCCCTTTTCACACAATGAACTCTTTGCAGAATGTCTGTTCTATCTCGTAAATCTCTGAATAATATATAATTACTGATTTGATAGAATTGAATTTCAATTACTAATATGCCACTTTCGTCAAAATACAAAATATAGATTTAACTAAAGGAAACTTACTCTTTGAGGTCAATTTCATACAATTTTCAATTACTTTGACAAGACACCTCTGCAAATGTATAGTCCAATGATTCAGGCAACCGCACTGTGGCATTATCGTTATGTCATGAGTCAGAAATTTTTCACCGAGAATGGAGAGATCATTTCAATCTTCTGTCAAATTTATGTTAAATACAGCATATATCAAACTAATTGTTCATTAAACTTATTATGTTTGTAACTCGACCTTATGTATATGATCTTAAAAAAAGTGGCCATTTCGTAAAAGATTTTATCTAACGTGCCTTAAAAGTCTTTATTTTGTCGCGTCTTGACGAGGGAAAATAAAACTTCGAGACTAATTTATATTTTAATCACTTCGCATTTTAAAAGCAGTAAAAGATATGTATGTATATATATATATACATTATCATTTGAGCCAAATTTTCTCAAATGGTGCTGAACGAATATAGTGATTTCTTTTGAAATGTGAATTTTGATTTTTATGAGTCATTCACAATTTTTGAGAATATATCACGGGACATTTTCTTCAGGTTGGTAATGTTAATAGAATATAATTTCTTATAACACAACCAGTAGAAGATCTTCTTTCTGATGTTAAAAGAAATTATATTCCAGCTAGATACAATGTAGTAGCAGTAATAAGATACAATGTTATAAGGAAACAAAACGCATAAATATCATTCAGGTCATTAGATGGTTTGGTGAAAAGCTGTAAATGATATTCAACCAAACAGAAATGTATTAATCACACATCAGATATTATGTCAGTAAGGTAACATAGCTACATGATGGTAAGAATGATTCCTATCTCGTTGGGAAAAAAACAATAATTTTCAGATAATCTAAAAATCTGTGTATATTAATGAGATAAAAGATTCGATATTTCATTGTAAACAATCCATGTATAAGTGTTAAAGTAGTTGAATACAAAGTATTGTACCGTGAATTTTTTCTGTGATGATTAATAGCGATTCATTGAAAAGTGCAGCGTAAGGTATTATCAACCTGTCCGGTGATGTCATTCACTGATCATAGGTCAAATAAAACGCATGATTTTTCGTACATTGACATTTGATAATATGAAAATATATAATGAAAAAAGAAGGTAAATGTAAAGGTACATGTAATCAGTCAAGTTTTAAGTCTTGGGTTAGCTAGATAACTGTCATTTAAATTAATCACGATGAACGTAACAAAAAAAAAAAAAAAGAAAAGGTAAGGATCGAAAATTTGAGATAAAAACATTGAAACAAACTATTATGATTATCAGATTTCATTAAAACGAACCGAAAATTGTACAATATTCAGCAACACGTATTTATTCTTGATTCTTAACAATATTGTTTATTGTATAATGACCAAAATAAGAATGCATATTTTAAGCGAAAAAAGAAAATTTACTAATGGTCTGAGCGATACAATTGACAGACATATTACATTGATTCATATTTTACTGGGATTGACTAATCAATTGAATAACAATAGTAATAAAGACGATCTGTTATATCGCGTGTCATTAAAACCTTATAAACATCAGTACATTAATATAAGATGTTGCCATCAATTTAAACTTTCATCCTTTAAACACCTCAAATTGACTATAAATGAAGATCGTGTGTTAGAGTAATCACTTTGTGCTGTTCAGGTATGCTTGTGGCCACGTGACATGTCTATGTAGCATCGTAATGAGAAGTGATTAATCAATTACGTCACAGGAAGATGACGGCGAGATCACTGCTAAGCACCATGCAACTCTGTATATTAATAAGACAAAAACGCAGACATATTCCGTGTATACAACTGTCCGAGACAATCACAAAGACACAAGTTAAATACATACGAAATGTAATTACCTTCAACAAAATGTCACGCACATGCAATTATATTGATTTTATGGAGATTAAAATTATTGTTTAACATTTCAAAAACAGATACAATGATAATATATAAACTGTGTTATAGAGATTAAAACATGAACAGAGTTTAAACAGTGTCAAAACATTGCTAAACAATTAGTAATGAGAATTTTGACAGACTCCCAACGATGGTATTTAGTAAATCATATGTTAGACTGGGAAACTCCAGGAAATGTAGATCTGACCTAATGACCCCTTTTAAAACAATAATAAATCTTAATTTGAAATTAATATCCTCGTCAACACTTTTTTTTTGTATGTAAGATCACACTTGGGTGTGGGAGAGTGAAACACGGAAATATTCGTCACACCCATTTAATTACAAACGGAACATGAGTCGATGTTGACCTTATGTAGACATTAAACAATTAATCCATGCACGTCACGCTGGGTTTGAGGTCACATCAAGTATAATTGGGTTATTTATTATGACAATGGTCAGACTTAGCCATCTTATTCTGTCGTTACCTTTCGTGTTCCCATGTTAAGGGCTATATATTATCTTTTACAGATAGTTAATTGTTTATACCAGTGATAATGAATCAACACCATGAATTTCGTTAAGGATCGAAGTATAACAGTATTGTGTTTTTTGTTGGTGAATATAACAACAAAATAATCACAAAACTATGAAATTGATACAAGTTCATATGGAATTTTCTTTACCTCTCTCACAGAAACACTGAATGAAGTTAGTTGCCATGGTGTTCAATTTGCTAATCGTTAACAATCAAGTTTTTAAACTTACAAAAGACACACAAATAAATATAAACCTTGAATACACAATTAGAATTGGAGGCACCCTTGGAGGAGACGTATGTAAATCCAAAGTGATTGAAAGAAATGTCCAGATGTAAATGGGGAGGTGCATTACCCCATCATGCAATGGATTTATGAAATTTCACATTTCTGATAACTTTAGAAAACTCCATTTACCTTTATTATTTACCGTTCTCATATGACCTTGACAATTACCAGGACGTTTAACCACGTAAAACCAATTAAAACCACAAAAAATGTCTGAAGTTATTTGTTCAACTGTCTACTTCTGGTACAGAAAGGCTAGAGTATAAACGCGATGTCATTGTCAACCTCAAATTAAAGATGACAAAATAATTGATATTGTGATGTTTATTGAATTAGCATTACTATATATATCAATCATTTCGTACATTCGAAAATGTCAAACATTTCATATTAACGTTTAAATGCCGTCTATGCTAGTTATTAACAGTGAAAAGACTTCCCTTTGCCGTATACTTTGCTTGTTAGCTAAATTCATTTCAATACAATGCATTGTCCCATACTAGTGAACACATCATCAAAACAAAATCAATCGATACAATAACACAAAGAAACTTACCGTAACATTTAATGAATTGCTTGACTATGTTTACTCTAAATTATGAAGTTGATCGTGTTATGCGGCTTGTCACCACCCCATTTACATTTTAACATTTTTTTCGATTATACTTTTCCTCTATCGCCTCGTAGGTTTCAAAATATATCCTTGCCATGACTGACGAGTCCTAGAATTCTTTCAGCGAATAAGGCTTATAGCAGCAATGACTAGTCCTAGAACTCACGAGCTTTATGATGCAGTAAAGCTCCTTATTACACTTAACAGTACTTAACTTTGTATTGAAATATGCTGTGAAGTTGGACGATCTGTTTCATGCAATGAAACTTGACATAGAGACGCTCCCTACGTCCTGTAATCTTATTCTACTTAATTATCTTGAAATAATTGCGAATCCCTGTTTTGAAAAGTGTTGAAATGTTTGTGGAAAACATTCTTTAATGAAACAATAGTAGAGACATACATACCAGCGGCTGTAGATATACATGTATCGTACATTTAAATAAGATTGGGTAAGTGATTTTACAGAATACATGAAAACGAATTAATATGCGACACTGATGTTCCTCGGGATAGTTATAAATTCTTGCTGCCTCTTTGACATTTAGTTAAGAAAACATCTGGGTTTATTTTACAATCAATAGGTAATTATCGACTATGTGACTACAAATCTAATATACAGCAATGACCTTTAGTTTCCCGTGATATATCACCCCGAGCTCACAGCTGTCCCGAAATATAGTGAACAGCTGTGAATTGGAGAGCCCTGATCAGACTTCCCGGAAACAACGCAAAAGATAGGAAAGTCTGGAATAAAAAATATATAAATAAATGAATGAATGAATGAATGAATGAATGAATGAAATAACAACAAAAAATAGAAAGAAATGTAATGATGTCACTTTGCAAAGGGATTTATTTTGTTTTGAAATAAACAAAATTTTGTAATCAAACAAAGTCCATCGGATAGATCATTCACAATTCACTTAAAAGGGTAGGGTCAATATTGTATAGGAGGAAATAGTTCAAATTAAATGAGGACAAAACTATCATTTGGCGAAAAACGAGCCCTAAAATTGCTTTGTACTTGTAAGCTGAATTAAGCTTGGATATCTCAAATGGTAATAAAAAAGTTTCCAGTTAATGAACATGTGTTTATTGTTTAATTGGAATAGTCCCCAAATGGTCAGTGAGGATCAATTTCGCAAAATTATGTTCTTGTATTTGTCTGTTGTACGTACATGCCCAAGGCGGTAAGAACATTTCGATATTTTTTCTGAATACTACAAATGTAATTTCGTCCTTGAAACTATTAACAACCTATATATTTCCAAAATTAAAAAAAGACACAATATATATAACGTTATTAAAGATTG